TATACGTGATATAGGATAGACACGTGATATTGGATAGATACGTGATATAGCATAGACACGTGATATAGGATAGACACGTGATATAGAATATACATGTGATATAGGATATATACGTGATATATGATAAATTCGTGATATAGAATAGAAACGTGATATAGGATAGACACGTGATATAGGATAGACACGTGATATAGAATAGACATGTGATATAGGATATATACGTGATATATGATAAATTCGTGATATAGGATAGATACGTGATATGGGATAAATACTTGATATAGGATAGATACGGGATATAGGATAGACACGTGATATAGGATAGACACGTGATATAGGATAGAAACGTGATATAGGATAGACACGTGATATAGGATAGACACGTGAAATAGAATAGATACATGATATAGGATAAATACAATGTTAATTATACCTTTTAAAAAAGATCCCCAGATAAAGGTAAATGATGAACACATGTAAGTAGTGGTAAACTACTGATGTCTTCAAATCGTCATGCAGTTAGATAAGACAAGCAGAAAGGTCGATTTACAAATAAACCTATTTCTATACATAAATGACTGTCTTCAGAATGTCGTTTTCTTCTTATAATGTAGATCAAAAGAAACCTTGTTGATTGAATTGTAATCAGAAGAATTTGTGAATTTCTGTTAAAAAATCCTCATCATGTTTGCTTATGTGATTTGTACTATTCATGCCATGTATTCCATAACTTGAATAAATACCGTTTAAACCAAAACTCTCTGTACTTAATGAGATACAATGGTAATCGTTCCCCAGCAGAGATCTTAAAGAAATGAAGTCTATGGTCAATATGAATATTGGTTGGGGAGATTTTTAGGTTTTTGTTTAGAAACCTAGAGTTAAACGTTTTTTTTTAAATATTTGCAAACAGCTATAAAATTGTCGTATTTGTTAACAGTATAACACACTATTGCAAAATCGAGTAACTGCAGCTAAGCTTCATATGGGAAAATAGAGCTCATTTGAAAGCAATTAAAATTCAACTGTAATGATCTCAAAACTACTGAACAGTACATATTTCTCAGATTGAGTTTGAATTCATTCTTTCGTTGTCCGGGAACATAGCGTCTCTGAATTTTACACATACTTAGTATTGCGGTGTGTTTTGTACCATTAAAGTATTGCTATGTTTATATAACCGGTCAAATATGGAAATGGTGACAGAATGGGGAAGATAGCTCTAGTTTTAAAGTGGAAGAGTGTTTCATTCTATCAAATACTTACACGTATATGTATCGGTAAAACACCACATGTGCATATGTTAAACGTAATCAACATCATAAAAAATACTTACATAATGCTGAGGCGAGCAAAAGCGCAACTAGAACCACGCACTGAAGGACAACTGAAAAAAGAGCAAATGTCAGTGTTAAGTTAAGTAGACGATACCACTGGTTAACACACACAACCTGAACTCAAAAAAACAAAAACAGAAGGAAAGACAACATGAACACACTGAAAATTACCGAAAGTGAAACCTGTCACAGCAAGACGGCATTATTGGTGGTGCTATATGGATCTTTTCACAATCCATACTTACTAACCTGAAGAAAATGTTTAGAAATAAGGGTTTATTTTCTTCAATTATATATGTTTCATTTAGATTGTAATTTTGTGATACTGTTATACAATCCAGGAAAATATAGGAGACTATACGGTAAAAGTTCATTATCCTCGACGTTTATTTGTTTGATATTTGGTTAGTGCTCAAAACAAGAAGTGGATCCCATCGCTAATTTTTTTTTTTTATTAAAGATTAGATAAATTCCTAAATTTCAAACAAATTAAAAATATTTTGAAGTTTATTCTTAGTTTCCATTTACCGTAATTTACCGTTATCATAAAAAAAAAAAGAATATTAAGATTTTACTACGTACCACAACAATTGAAAATAAAGAAAACGGTATAAAATCATAAAACGGTATAAAATCATTTGAAATGTCTAGCATTTATCAAAATGGCCGCTTGGTAATTTAAAAATAAAGACAATATCAATATATTATTCAATTTAAGAAATTTCAAACTAAGAATCAAACGTCAAGATATAAAAAAAAAAACCGAGCATGAAAATGCAGCATATTTAGCTATTACCGCCGGCCTCCTCACATGCTCATTTAAATTTGAAATCAAACATCAACTGTTTCTTAAACTTCTCTCATTAACATATATCCAACAAAAGAAGTACAACCTTTATAGAACTGTAATGATGAGTATAAATATCAATGTTTAATGCATGGCATGTTCGATTCGCATCAGCAATTAAACTCGCTATGTTGCCATGACTACGAAAAGACAGATGTATCTTCTCCTTGAGTCCTCCGGAGACGCTATATTAAAACCTTTCTCATGCTCATACTTGGGATAAGTGCCTAAGCTTAACTCGTTATTCAATCCAGAAAACATCTTTCAAGTCTTATATAATTTTAGGCAAACTTCTAGCCGATGTTTAAATTTTGGTGCCATTGCAAGAAGCCCGTATATTTGTTGCAAACTTCTATTAATGTATATAGTTATACACCAAGGGTAACAAAATATATGTTAAGAAAACTAGCAAACATATTAAATTCATCTCGTTAATGAATTTGAATATGACAGAATGTAGTAAAACCTACTCAATTACATGAACAGTAAAATTGTATGTATGTATGTATGTATGTATTCTTTTTTCAATAATTAATATAAAAAATAATCGCTAGATATTGAAAACAAATCTGTCAATAGTTGTGTAGCATACATTAATTACATGCACGACATAATTAGGAAAAACACCAACTTGATCTTATATCTCATCAATATTAAGCCACTATACAACTTTTTCTTAACTAGAAGCTAAACAAATATCTGTAATTGTGAAATCTATGATATTTTGTTAGCATTTTTGGCAAAATAAAAGATATAGTAAATTATATATTATATTTATCAATGTAAATAAACAATTGTTTTTTTAGCATACTTTAGGTTATTACAATATACAGTACAACATATTCTTTAGAACATTGCATAATTATTCCTGTGTATACCTTTGGCCATGTTTGCTGTAAAGACGTCCAACGTCACCGAATGCTCCCTGCGTGTCTGGTAGACAGATACAACTTCAAACGTTTATAAGAACACGCATGTCGTTATGATTAGGCAAAACGGAATTAATCATTCGACACGAAAAGAGGACAGCGATACTTGGCAGTGATCCAATATTAACTGTTAAATTTAAGTTTTTAAAAAAATGTTTGCTATATGATATGAATTGTTTAGGAGAAAACTTACTCTTCGTGTATTTATGTATGTAGGTTAATAACAGAACGAGCTTGTCTATTACAATTGACATGTTGTTATATTTATTTATCTTTACTGCTTATTCTATAAACCTGTGAAGAATTTACCTACAACCAACAAAACTCCTTTGTCAACAGAAGGGTCTTACACAGCTTAAAACATTGTCACATAATCTGTATGGTAATATTGCGAGGTCGACATAGGTCCGTAACACTTCTTATTAAATACATGTACCTAAAATGCATGTGTCTGCAAGATAATCAGGTCGTGGTTGGCAAAATTATTTAATGAAAATTTCTTTTTTTAAATGCGACAACTTGGAACAACGTATGCCATGAATTGATGTCCTGAGATAGCCTACGATTCACCGTGTAAAATAAATGATAAGTTTGTTTTGATCACAGACAGTAATTTTACGAGCTTTCGAAATCGTCTGTTAATTTCTTTTGTCAAACAAAGACTGCCGTAACAGTAAATCTTCAATCTCATTCTAGATAATCAACGCACTTTTCTGTTGTGTAGAACACGTGTTCATGGGTCATATCACATCTACCTGTGAAAATCGTGGAAAATAAAGCCTGCTGTTACCCACTGCATTTAAGTGTTGAGCGTTCTCCCCCAGGCCAAGATATTCCTGAGGAATGGTGCAGTGTAGCTGTTATTCCCTGCTTAACGTTCAGCATTTAGGGTGATGAAAACAACCGGTTAAATGGAATATTTTGCGGGGTACTTTCGATTTAGCATTTCAGTCGGGTAGCACTATAAATAGGCATCCGATCCGCGCTATTACGAGGAGCCAAATACACTAACATACCGACCCAAGCACACACACACACACACACCTTCACACACGCATGGAGGCACGTCCTTAAATGAACGAAGCTGTCATTAGGGTGCTAAACTCTATTAATCAAAACCAAACCAAGAGTCATTTCTTCAGTGTTTGGAAGAGATTCATGCTGTGTTTCCTTTTATCTCGATCTCTTCCTGTTACGGCTGTTGTCTTGTACGAAATTATAGTTTACCTAATGAGAAGATGCTATGGATTGTTTTTAGTTTTCATAGTTATAGCTTACCTGGGCCCGTATTCATGAAACCGATCCTTGCTCAAACTCAGAACCTGTGCTCTAGCCCAATTTCTTGTCCAAGGGATGAATGAATAAAATCCTTTTTTTTTTCTCAATGATTTGGAAGAATGTTGGAGAAACTTAAAGCCGAATACCGTTTTCAATATTTATACCTGACCTTTTGGCTGTATCACATGATTTAAGTGAGTTGCAAGAAAGGTTGCTTGTTCATATAATTCATTCTTGAGCATGATAATGATTTCATGAATACGGGCCTAGTTTTACAGATTTACATTAAAAAGGTGTTAACTATATCTAGTGCAAAGTACTATTTTTTTAAATTGCGACTAGAAATACGACGCAAGTAATCATCTTTTTTTAAATAATAAGTCGGTCGGTGCAAAAGTCAAACAAAGTTGACATTTACTGCGCCATATGACCCTTTTGTGAATTTAGGTTATCAGTAAAACCTACGGCCCAGAGATCATGAAATTAATTTTAGTCTAAATTGTCTTAAGTTTTGACTTAGCCAATCACAAAAACGTCATGAAAAGTGACTTAATACTTGATTGGCTAAGCAAAAACTTAAGTCTTAAATTGTCTCATGATCCCGGGACCAGGTCAAAATCCATGTGTAATTGTAAAGTCCTCCTAAACATAGTTATGTAGGTAAACATCAAAGCAGGGAGAGGTGTCTGTCAAAACTTTTATGACGTCACAAATTTACAATTTTCATAGGAGCGGGAAAATGCACGCCAGACCGGGGGTCGAAACCGGGTCCCTCCGAACTTTAGACGGACGCTCTATCAATTGAGCTTCCTGGTCGCCGATGAACGGCCTAGTCCAAATCCGCTACACAAAGTTTGATAATTACAGGAATTCTATTAGTATGTCATGTAAACCTTGCCCAAATAAATTATATTTTCAAAGTTACTGTAGATGTGTATTTATGTTTCTTTCAAAAGAAAAAATGAGCTTGTTTCTTTAACATTTCATGAACAATTTCCAAAACATAAATGTCTTCGCAACAATTTCGCAATTCTACTATTTGCATAGGCGACATCATCTTGTTTTAAGTATCCGATACGTTGTCTCAGCGGAAGATTTGTCATCTTAATTATGGTGTTAATTAAATTAAATGTCAAGGGAAAGTTGATAAACTCGTTCTGGTTATTTGAATGAGAAAAGAAATGCGAGTGTCAGAGATCAAAAATAGGGACATTTTACATTATCATACCGGGTAAACTTCTGTTTTTTTACCTAATATAAAAATCAACTTTCAATATCCTATATCCTTCGACATGAACATGTCTTATTTCCCTTACCTTCTCTTTGGTCCTTTTCCTGTCAACTTTGATTTCCAAATCTATATTATTATTTTTCTGTCATAAGATATTCATTATGGAGCCTCATGACATATTATAATTGAGAGAACTGTCATGATATGTTAATATCAGTTTAAATATTGTTTGCCTGAGGATCCGAGTTTCACTCCCAAAAACCGTAGCTATGCGTTCGACATTGGTTTTAACGGCATAACTATAGCGTTAATAAATAATAACTGAAAAGAAAACCATACTCGTACCTGCGGGGCTTTTATCAAAAGTAATCAATTAAGTTAAAATAAACAAATCGTAATCGACAACATTGTTCTGAATGTAAAATAGTCACTGTTGCTAGACGGGGATTCGAACCCTGAACCGCAGATTGTGATACTGTCGCTTAGCTTCCTGGTCAACGGACGTGCTCTGGCCAAATTGCGGCACAGTAATAACCAAAACGAAATTAAGTGAGGTTACTTTTTGTTCAAACAATCACAGTAGAATTCTCTAGTCTTTTACCTGCAGTGGGATAGGGATCGTTAAATATGGTGGCAACAAATAGAACGGGCTCTGATTGATGTTGACGTCTGTACCAGGTGGTTTCAACGGATACCAATTTGTACCTCTGTTTCTATTGTTTTCACACTGCAAGGATACACCTGAATTATTTAAGTTAATTAAATAGAGAAATAAAAATAGTTACAAACACCTGACTCAAAAGACCTTATTTAAGGAACACACATCATCATGGGGAAAAACGTTGACCAAAATAGACAGAGAACTGGAGACTCGCCAATCAGACTTCGATAGAGGACTGAGCTATGCTATAACGGTATATCTATTGATTGATTGACACTCCTCGGTACTTTAACTCAATAAAAAGCGACCCGTACTTAATTCTAAACAAGACGGGCAACCTATAATTATTGGCTGACCTATAATTACTTAATTACTATCCAATTATTCCTTAAGAAGAAGTCTATACTTTATCTGCCGTGGCCATTCGGTGATTTGGGGTTCAAGTTGGCACCAACAGTTAATGAGGATGAATAGATACTCCTTGAACTTGTATCTCAAAAACATACGCTAGAGTACATTAAATACAATGTATTAAAAGAATGAAAAAAATAAGGCCCATGTTGGGAATCATTAGAGTTATATTATCGTGTTTAGTCTGCACTAAACCCAAAAGCACACACAGGTTATATTCTGCTATGTTTTTTGTCCATAAAATAACAAACACCTAAATTGTCGAAAATGAGCATTTATTCTAAATGCCCGAAATCGAACATATGTATTCATCTTTGTGTTGATATTTATAATCAACCAAAGAACCACAAAAATGGGGCTTGCTTCAAAATAAACGCCACAAACTTGAACTTAAATATTACCATATTTCTGTTCAAGTGCCCTACTCCAGAGTTATATTTGTACAAAGTTTTGTCGTGAAAAAAGACTAAGAGTAATTATATATCAAAGCGGCCATAATATTAAATAGTAGCACGCACTAGGACCGTACTTAATATAATCTGGTAAACGTAATGAAGTCTCTAATTACAGACCAGTATCTTTACTACCTATATATCTAAAGTTTTCGAAAAACTGGTTGACGTAAATTTTTCTAATTTTATAAATCCGCTTATCTGCGATGGGCAACATGGTTGTATGCCAAAAAGGTCTACTGTTTTAAACCTTGCATGTTTCACCGATCAGATTACCAAACCTTTGATGAAAAAGTAGAATTACATACTGTATATACTGATTTTTCAAAGGTATTTGACAAAGTAAACCACAGTTTTTTATTGCATAAGTTAAAACTGTATGGTGTAGAAGGTAGCATTTTAAATTTGGTTTACTACTTATTTGAAAGACAGATTCCAGCGTGTTACTGTCAATGGGGCAACATCCGGTTGGTGTGATGTAACTTCCGGTGTGCCTCAAGGTTTTTAAACTTTTCCTTGTTTTTATCAATGAACTGCCATCTTTTGTGAAATTTTCTTAAACTCTTATGTTTGCCGACGACAGCACATTTTTTTGACTGTGAAAGAACGTTGTCTGAGTGTGAGCATCTACAGAGCGATATAAGTAGAGTGTATGATTGGTGCATTGTGTGGAAAATGAAAGTGAATGTGAAGAAGTGCTGCCAGGTCATTTTTACAAACGAGAAGAAATGTATGAATTTTAATTACACTATGAATGGCGAGCATCCTGAAAAATGAAATGTGTGTGAAAGATCTTGGTGTTTGGCTAACCTCTTCAATGAGTTTTAGTACCCACATTAGACGTACTGTTTCCAAATCAATGCGAATGCTCGGTTTTAAAAAACGTACATGTAAAAGTTTTACACAAATACCCGTGTTAAGGTCTCTATATAAAAGTCTTGTCTGGAGTCAGTCAGAATACTGTTGTCAGATCTGGTCTCCATACCAA